AAATATCAGAAAAATAGCAGATTTGTTTTTTGAAAACTAAGCTGCAGTAATTAGGCATATTATTTCTAAGTTGGAGTCAACTTCAGCAGGATATGGGGAAATAGAAGAAAAGCAATTTGATTCCAAATGAAGTTATGTCAAACAAATTATTGGTTAGACAGATTCCTAAATAATCCATTCAAATACTCAAATTCTTTATTCTTGGGAAATGCAAAATGTAGGGACAAAAAAGAGTTTTCTTAATTTTTTTAAGGACATATAATTTCTCAGACCCCAAGCTGAGACAGATTGTTGCATTATAGTGAGAATATAAGAGATATTAGGGGAATTGAAAGAATTTTCAATGATGCTGGTGACATTCATTTTCAATGTTAATAACCTATTTGCTATGATAGCAGCTTAATAATCTTTTAACTGGCAGAAGTGGAATTACACTGCAATATGGTATATTAACATTTTGAAGAAAAAACCCCACAGTTCCTTGCCCTCATCATTCAAATATTTTAATCTTTATTTTAGGGAAATAATTAGGAGATATTTTTTTCTCCTCTTTCTGCCTGCACAGGAAAATTTCAATCCCATTTGTTAGGATTCAAAATCTACTTGGGCATTGCAACAGGTTCAACATGACTGTTATCTTTGCAAATTTATAATCCAGAGTAGTCTTTTCTGCCTTTTCTGGTTTTCCCTCTGCACAAACCCACAAATACTAAATATCACTGTTATGGGACATATAGGAAGTTCAAGCTATACAAAATAGCAAGTCTATCCCTCTCTACTAGAATTTGTGTGTTCAATTCTTGTCAAGCAAAAAGCCCACCTATCTTTGAAACCCTGATGTATGTAACTAGGCTAGATCAAGTCTCCCACTTTTCTTCTGTGACTTGCTCTTATTGTTTTACAAACTTTGTTGGAAAAGTTGAAAGTACAAGTATCATCTCTGTAAGACATTACCACCATCTACTTCACCAACACAGACCAGTCCATTTTACTGTAGACAGCATATCACCTCTGCCAGCTATCTAAAATACCTCTGCCAAGAAGAGAAACCACTGTACAGAAACCACCTGATAAACTGCTTTATTTATGGGAAAGAAATCCTTTCCTGGGGTCATCAAAAATAGCATTTTCTTCTACATGTTTCCTAGGTGCAATGCAGTACACATACCATGCAGGGAATGCTTGGAAGTGTGTATGCATATTACCACAGTAAGTAAGGTCATAATGAAAGTTCCCTACCTGGTGAAGTTTGATGTGGAATGTTTTCTAATTGTGCTGCATCAGAGATTGTTTCTGAACATATTTTATATGTATCAATATTATAAATAAAAGGTACTTGGCCAGGCAATTCCCTTTACCAGGAGTTTACCAGGACCCCCTGCAGAGAGTCCATATATCCAAGGTATGCATGAGGACAGCTTGTAGCATCCCACGGGTTTTGGGGCAAGAAAAAGCTTGATTTTGTTTTGGCCTTTCTGAGGAAAACACAAAGGGTATCAATCACTGCCAATTGTTCCCAGGGGACTGGTGATATGCCCAGTCTTCAAATATAAATGTATTTCACACAGGACACTAAACAGCACTCATACAGTTATTTTTGGTCACTACTTACTTGGGCCAGATGCAGACTGGCAACCTGAGGAGGAGAGGTTCTGGACTGAGTTATTAATCCCTTGAACCACTGACTCCCCTGGCTTGGAGGGATTATTTGTCCAAACCCTAATATTTATCAGAAAACTGAGAGGAATCAGTACAACAAACAGGAAAGGTGTTGATATTTCCAGTTTCATTTTAATTACAGAAAATCTCTGGCAGGGTTACAAGTCCTTTTTGCACCATAACAAACTGCTTGAATTTGCACTGAGGAAAGAAAACAAACATCATCAAGTTATGATTACACAGACAATGAAAAATACAAATCCCACAGCAAAAGTGACTGGACACTACAGCTTTGTGCCTTGCACACACACTCTGCACTGGTTGCAAAGTAGTAATGGAAATTCTCCATCAGAACGTGCTTTGCATCAGACCATGCTTAACAGTCCTTCAAGTCCTTCACTCTTACTGCCTATCCTTGTCCAGCCAGAAGTCAGGTTTTCTCTGTTTCCCAGTGGAAGAAGGTCTATGGCACATTTTAGAGTAATCTACATTATTCCACCAAGTCATAGTTCTATAAAACTCTGAAAGCTACCATTGAAGATACCAAAATAGGCACTGAGCCTTAAAATGCCTCATGGTGAGCCAGTATCAGTTTCAGGCTTTTTAACCCAAGAGGTACTGATCCCCTGTGGCTCCTGAGCGGTGGAGAGACCCTCGGGAAGCACTAACCAATCTCCATTTCCCTCCAATTCAGAAAAGGCAGATGCCAAAGCTATGTTCTTGAGAAGATGTAGGCACTGCCTGCACCACGCCAGCACCCCAAAGGAGGTAAGCCATGCATTAGTCCTCTTGCTTCCCCATCCACTCAGAGAACTTCCCCATTCCCTCACGTAAGGCCAAAGAGAAAGACCTTGCTATGCTTCTCAGAGCAAGCAAGCTGAGCAAGACATCAAGATAAGCCACCCAGGAGGAGCATAAAGAGTTCCAATCATCTTTTTTATGGAGAGAGGCATCTGAAGCTCTCGCTTCTGCCGCTAGAAACCTTCCTCCAGTACCACAGGAAAACAATTCTGCTTCACAACAGCAAAGAAAGATGAGGAGAAAAAGAAAGGCAGTAGAAAATTAAAGACTATGAAAGTGGCACAGATAGGGAATGAGGAAATTATCACAGCACCTGAGACAAAATGAACTAGCTGTAATGGGAAAGGACAGAGATAAAAGATAGAATAAGAGAAGCTAGCACAGCAGGAGATGTTGATGCAAATGAGTGGATGGGGTCAGTCCAATAAGATTGTTAGCCTCCTGTGACAGAGATGGCATACACTACGTAAACATAAACTGTTTAAAATTCTCAGACAGAAAGAGGCATATTAGAGAGATATGCCACTGTTTCAGGCAGTCTGGGTGAAAAAAAAGAAAAAAAATTTCACCACTAAACAAATTACATAAGTGCAAGGTTGCAAAAAGAAAAAAAAAAAGTATTAACACAAATTGGTTTATCTGTACAAGATTTATCAAGTTAAAATAAACTATGTTTTCAGGCTACATTCATTCGAGCTTCAATTATATCAAGAAAGGCACTGAAATGATCAAATTACGGAGCCCCAAAAGCATTTAATAATCACAAAAATGAAGCAGATGCACTAATAAAATTAACATTAATAAACTAGGTCAACACTGAGAAAAGAAAAGAGTGATGGAGGAAGAAGAGAGCTCCACCCAGAGCTGCTCCTCCAGGGTGCCAGCTCTGGCGCTGCGCTCCCCGCACAGCGCTGTGCAGTAATGACTACAGATGATGCAGCTCTTTGACCTCTTTAACACACACATTGCTCACACTGTCTCCATAGAATCTCTGCTTGCTGCAGCCAGCATCCAAATGGTTCCTTAATATAGAAACCTGTGAGGAAATGCTCCCTCTATCAGTAGTTTATCAACCCTCAGATTAGGAAAGAGGGCCTTTAAGCTTCACAGGCTTATCTGCAGTGCAGTAGGAGTCTGAAGAGGCGAGCAGAGGACAGTCAGGCTCTCGAGGCATCCCATGATCTGTGGCTCAGGAGGTAATTTCAGCTTTCCTCACCACGAGTATAAACACCACCTGCTCACCTTGCCTAAAATGATTAGAGAGAACCAACATGAATCCAGCTGTGTCACCCCAATTCTGTTGCCCCTTCTCAAAGCTGGGCAATCTTTTTTGTGTGAAAACAACTCCACAAAAATCAAAGGAATGAAAAGCAGTCCTCAAGACTTTGGCTCCTGGTGTTTTAACACATAAAACACTACATACAATAAACACTGAGGCATGATGACAAGTGCTAGCTGAACCATTAAATGCAGTGGAGAGACAGAACTGGTCTGTTCCATCTCAGAATCTGACCCACTCATGTTACAAAACAGATGCATAAATTATTACAGTGATTATGCAGAGGAGCAAGATTATGCAAGTGCTAAGTACTGCTGTTACAATACAGATACACAAACGAGTATAAACGGGCCTAGGGATGTAACATCTCTCTTTAGCTTTCTTAGGAGGGTAAAGAAAGAATGAGAAAGAGGGAGCTGGATAAATGCAGTCAGAGGGAATTATTTAGGCAGTAAAGACAGAACTCCTGTCTTTCTGCCAAGTACTCCCTTGCTCACCTAGGGAAAGATCCAGCACAGCAGCAGAACCGCAGAGGTAGAAGCACAAAGGCAAAGAACCAAACTGTTCATTAAAACTCAGGATTGGAAAGAGCTGACAAGCAGTATAGCGCCGCAGAAGATGATTCTTCTCAACTTTCTGGCACAGAAAAATCAGGAATTACTGCCATCAGAAAAAAAAAAAGGAGAGGAAAAAAACCTCAAGGACAGAGAAACAAAGTCACAGGCCAGTTCTGAAGAGCAGGGTGTGATAGTGGAGATGCACAAAAGCTGCACATACAAGTGTGGAAGCTTTCTTAAAATACAATCCAACTGTTATTACAAATACTGACATTACAACCACTACTTTGAAATCCCCCTCCTCAAAATGGAGGTTAATGCAAGATTGCAAAGACTCCAAGATGCCTTTGGATGCAAAAGCAGAACATTTAGCAATGTGCACAGAGGATAAACCACTGGCAGATGCTCTAGCAAGCAACTGTAGAAACCAGGCTGGCTGCAGGCAGTCTGTCATGTCATACTATTATGTGCCAGTACAAAGAGGAAAGGTCAAGATAATCATACAATAACCTAAAAAAAACCCCCAAACAAAACCAAAACAAAAACAACAAAACCAAAACAAGAAAGTACAAGAACATTTAAGCACATGAATAGAAACCTTTAGTCTCAGAACTGAGAGCAAGTCTCCAAGGGGTGCAGGGGCCATTCCCACCTCATGCACCCCAGCCCACACACACTCATTCACAGCCTTCACCTCCTCACTGTGAGCTGCTGGGCAGGGAGCCTCAGGCTCTGGGTCTGAGTGTCCCTTCAGCTCTGTAGTTGGCAGGAGGTCGCTGCTCCTCAGTCCCTCACCCCTGCCTCTCCCCATCAGGTGCCTCAAGCACAGGATGCAATTGGATTTTCCCCCTGGGTCTGCCAGCATAGCTTTTGTGGGTGACTGGCCAATAAAACAAACTCCACCAACCTGGTCCCATTAACAGACTGTTTATCTGCTGCCTCCCAGGCAGGCCAGGGAGAAGCCTGAAGGAAAGGAAAAACCTGTCATGGAAAGAAAACAAACAGCTGAGGTCAGGGACCTTTTCAACCAGCAGAGCTTGGCTATGCTACTGGAGCCCCCAGCTGAAATGTCTCTGAAACCCTCAGGGCAGGAATCACCTCGGTCCTATTCCAAGATGGCATGAAGGATCTTTTAGCACCAGAAGAAAATCCCTGTCCCTTCTCTCTTTCCATTAAGAGTAACAACAGGTTTTAGGAGAAAGAAATCACTAAGATACTATGTGAAAATTACAAGTATTTACTGGAATTACAGCATGTTGCCTCAAAGGGATATGAACTTATTCAGGCAACATAACAGAAGATTGCAAAGATATATTTTAATCCCCATTTTCAGCTCATTTTTCCCCACTTTGATGAACAGTTTTAAAAAATGCTTAAAATAGCACGTTCAATATTATACTTTGTGAAAATTGAAATTAAGACTCTTGCAGGTAACTTTGGTAAATCAGAAAAAATGTTGTTCCTATGCTACAAAAATTGCCAAAATCCCCCAGTACTTCCTATCTTGAATTTCTCTTGTCCCCTGTAGCCTGAGCCTCCAGCCCAACTAACAACTGCTGTCACAGAAAGCCTCCTCTGTAGAAATTTTCTCTACTAAAGGAAAAGCTCATGGATAAATTAAGAATCAAAGGCAATACATTTAACACAAACTCTTACAGTACTGCTTTTACCCAAGCTTTTGAAGATTTCCTTCCCATTCCTCAACTTGCCCAAACAACTAAAAGGTTTGAAAGATTAATGTGACCAAAGACTATTTCTTAGTGATATTGAATGCCAGAAGCAAAACCTAAGGTGAAACACAGAGACATGAAAAGACTAGTTTGGACAGGCTTTATTATGGCCATTTTATTATATCTCAACTACTGTTCATAACTTTCTTGCTTATTTCCTCATAATGATGGCTTAAATATCTTGTCTTCAAAAACTACCAAAGATGCACTGTCAACACATACAAATATGACTGTAAGCCACCAGGAGCCAGTTTTCTGGATTTTTTAGAGTTGGCATACTGCTAGTAGGCAATTTATGTATCTATTTTCCAGCAAGGCCTTCAGAGAATCTGTCACTTGAGACTGTGGTAAGCACCTAGCAAGGAGTAGGTGCACCATAAATTTATTAATGTGCCATTGTTTATTGTCCTAGCTTCTAGAAGTTCAAATAACATCTTGTGTGTAGGACAATGTGTTTAGTTCAATTAAAAATCACTGTATCTTTTTTTTATTAAGTTTTCAGTTGACAAAAGTATCAATGGATTTTAGAACATTCCCTCCTCTCAAAAGAACATCTCAAGGATGAACCTAGAAAAGCTAGACCAATTTTCTTTTGTCTGAAACCTCTGGAGATAAACATTGCACATTTCTTTGCCAGGAGAAAACAAACAACATTTCCCCCACCTTCCCCCTGTTAAATGCAGCTTCTACAAATACTTTTGGTCTACAGGAGCAAACAGATTGCCAATGTAGTATCCTTGCAGATCAAATAAATGAATGGGTGATCAGTAAAACCCCCCAAGCCTAACAAAATATATAAATAATTTAACCCAAAGGGAGGAAGGGTTACAAGTAGTTTACATGCTAGTGTACACGCCAGGACTGATCTCGGTATTTTTCACTAATACTATCATATCAATACAAAAAGTGCAAGGTTTTGTGCTCCTTAAGAGCCCAACAGCTTCAAACTCCTGTTAGTTTGGAACCTGAGGGATTTTATATTACATATGTCAGTGAAAGAAAAAGCCTGAAATGAAGTTTTCAAAACTTAGGTAAAAAGCAAAACTAAACATTATTTTCAGTGTGCTGGTGCAGTAAGCAGGGGAAGACCCTTGGGCAATTCCTGTAAATATGATTCTATGGCATAGTCAATGGCAAAGCCATTCCAGAATACAGAACAGCACTGCTGTATTTTATAACTAAGGGCAATTCAGTCATATCAAAAAAGTATGCCATAGAGGCAAAACCTGAATGCTACCTATCAATTAACTGATCTGAAAATTGCAACTTCAATTCTGTACTTCATATTTATTAAAGTTACTATTCTTTTCTATCTTTAAAGAAATTAAATGAAGCTCTTTTGTTTCATTCACATCTTACAAAAGGCTCAGCTGCAGCGCTTCATCTTCTCCAATACCTGCACTTCACCTCTTCTGTCTAGCAACTTCAACCTCTACACAGGTGGATGTGAATCTTCCTTATGTCCATGTATACACAATATAACTGAAGCCTCAAAGCCTCCCTCTCTCATTCAAATTTAATAGAATTCTCCTTTTTGCTGCCCAGCTCTTTTCATTGGTTTTTTTTTAAATACTGAAGTATACAATGCTTTCGTATGATGTTACAGTGCTCTGGGTCAGATCATGGTATTTTACAGCACCTCCTTGAGACTGTCCAAGTAAGAGCAAAGAACACAGGAGTGGAAAAGAAGTTCTGTCCTCATATACTGTCACACAGGCTGATAAAATCATTCAGGATGGATGGAACCTCAAGATGTCATCTAATACAATGTCAGCATTTACATACTCCTGTTTCTCTTGGGCTGATCCACCAAACAGTGGCATAAAATCTCTCTTCAATAGAGTGAGTTTTTAAAGATTTTTTTTCAAGATTTTTTAGAAACAACAGTCAGGAAACGTGATCTTTCAACCTTCATCATGGCTTACAGTTAAAAAAAAAAAAAGGCAAAATGTTTCATAACAAGAAGTGATTCAAAATTCAGAAATGTCTGTGTTATCACAAAAGTTTTCTCACAAATTAACCATATTTTTAGAGGTTAAATTTTACATAAAAATAACATCTCCAACATTTTAATGACAAAATCTATTAGCAGTCCTAAACCTTGCCCTGACAACTAGTGTTTGCACCTAGTGGAAGCTGTGCACGTTTGGATGCACTGGTGTTTCTGCTGATGTTTTGTAGCAGCAAAGCCCTTTGGGGGCCACTTATTCTCCTGTCTGTGGGCCTTCCAGCATCATTACATCTGTCAATCCAAAAATCCAAGCCAAGCCTGCTGCCAAGCAATCAGGAGCATGTGCACACAGACACAGACTAATCGATACAGTTCTGACTTTAATTCCTTTATGAACAAAAGTAAAATACTAATTTACTCAAAAACTCAGGTGGCAGAATATTCTCCGTCATGATCTGAACTTTTTGTTCTTACACATGCCTGGCCTTCTTAGGATGAACAAATATTTGTAGCTGATACCACAGCAAATTATCACAGGGCAAGTAATGTTGTAACAGCTACCAGAATATGATGTTAAAAAGGATGAGAGACATAACAGACAGACCTGTAATCTTCAAAGTCATTTTACATGGGAACAAACAAAAACATCCAGGCCACTCATGACTTGTCAGTTAATAATGGAATCACTTCCTGTTCTAATATTGCACTGTAGCACAAGCCAAACATTTATTCTGTGAGTCTTCTGGCAAAACTGCATGAACAACAACACCCCTCATCCAAACATGACATTTTTATATCATGCTGTATGTGAATTAATTGAAATTCAAATTCAAATGCTTTCTGCATGCACAGTTGGAAGCTTGTCCTGTCTCCTAGCAAAGCATAAGCTCTAGCAACCAAACACTACCATGCAAACTTGTCAGATAAGCTAGGAAGGAAATTCCAAACAAATTATTTTCAAGGCACTGTCTTTATTTTAAGCAAGGAAGAAGTATTTATGCAGTCCTTAGCTACAGACAAGCCTTCTTATGAAGGAAGAACTCACACCAACATAAAGCTTCATTTATTTCTAGATATGAAAAAAAGGAAAAAATGCATAATGGAAAGAATGTCTTCCACCTGAAGCAGCTCTTAGGCCATATGATACAGGGGCTGTAGCGTGACATTACCACTGAACTGAGCCAAAAGTTTATTTCAATATGTTCTACCTGTCTCTGCCTTAAATGCCAACAAAGCTGGAGGGGAAGCCAAAGTTGCTGCTTGTGTGGGAGGTGAATCTGCTGCACCAGCAAGGAGAAGGCTGAGCTGGGGCTGGTAGACTTCCTTGTGCCTGCTGAAAAGCATGAAGGGATAGAGGAAATGCTGAAGTGTAGGCTAGATTTCTCTTTTCTGTGGTGCAAGCAGAAATCAGGACTGGAGAAAACAATCACAATGAGGAGAGAGGGCTGCAAAGCTACTCCCCCTGCATGTGATCAGAACACATACTGCACTTACCGGTAGTAATAAGGATGAGATACTCATCCCCTCCTAATCTCTCTCTGCTCCCCACGAGTCTGTCCCTCAGCAACAAGGACTCTAGTTTTAGAACAACTGTTTGCTAACCCCTTACAACCAACCTGCACAAGCAGACAGTCCTTAAAAGGAAATAACCTACCTACTCATTTAGAGTGGAATCTTTACCTGGCTAATACCTGGTAATAAACTGCACTGATGGTTGGATAGAAGAAACACCAGACATTGCCCTTATTATTTTGAACCAGTTTATTTGAGAGGACATTTTCCAAGAATAAGCAGTCAAATAAAAGAGTTATAAATTTAATCTTCTGTTTAATGTTGCAGTTGTTTTCACCCTTAGCCTGTAAGGCACAGAGTAAATGGAAGCACAACTGAGAAAGTGTGTCTGGACAAAGAGCCCACAGTTTGAAAAAACTGGATAACTGGAGAGGACCAAACTGCAAGACCATAACGCTAAAATGGAAGCTCTCAGAGAAAAAAGAAAGAGTTTAATGAGATTAAGATTATAGAAGTCAATTACCAGTCAAGTGAAAATTACCCATTCTCAATAAAAGTCACAAACACTAATTAGCTTGTGTATTTCCAGCAAGTTGACTT